CGCCGGCGAGCCGGGCCTGCCACCATCGCGCCCCTCGTCCATCACCACCGCGCACTCGGGCAGCCAGAACCGATGGTCGCAGGCCAGCCCGGCGCGACGAGGCGGCGGCATCAGCGTCTCTGGCAGCCTGAGCCACCAGAGCCGTCCCACGACCGCCGCCAGCAGAACCCATGTCCCCCTCGCTGCCCACGGCTTCTTTCGCCCCATGAGCTCTCAGCGCCTGCAACAGCAGCGCAACCAGCGCCCCACGTCGCTGCTCGGCCACAGCTCTCTGTACTCGGAGACTGCGCTGGAGCCAAACTCCAATCCCTACCGCTCCAGTACCGGCTCCACCCAGACCAACCGCGGCGTCATGACGCTGGGCCTCCACCACGAAGAGGATCTGCAGCCTCCACCTTCGCGTGGCACCGACATTACCGACAGGGACATGCCCGACCGCACCACGGCCAACTCAACTCCCACCGGCGCAGAAACTGTGCGCAGCCACGGCGAGAGCATCACGCCTCTACAGCGTCCCCGACCCCAGCACCTTAACCTGGCCAATGTCCACAGCCACGATGCCGGCAAGAACCCTCCCGCCCCTAGCAAGTCTCCGCGCTCTTTTCGTTCTAGCTTCATGATTTCCAGTCGCGAGGGCCGCTCAAACCAAATACGCCCCCATCAAGGCCACGAGAAACTCACGTCTGCCGAGCCGTCTCCCCGACTGGCGCGTAAGGAGGCCACCAAAGAGGCAGTCAAGAAGGAGTTGGGTAAAAATTACCAGTACTTTTCCGGAAACACGGCTTTCTGCTGGGGCGGTCGGCTGCAAAACACGCGCGACAGACCGGTCAATGTGGCGACGGCCATACTTATAATTCTGCCAGCCTGCCTTTTCTTCGGTTTCTCGTGCGTCCAATTCCCTTTTCAATTACTTTCGCTTCTGCTAACCTGTACAATAGGGCGCCTTGGCTCTGGCTTAATGTTTCTCCTGCGATACCCATTCTCTTTGCGTACTTGCTTCTCGTTTCCGTGTCTTCTTTCTTACATGCATCTGCTTCAGATCCCGGAGTATGTACCACGACCTTTTTTTTGACGTCTAGTATCACTAATACCCCGCCAGATACTTCCGCGGAATCTTCATCCTTTCCCCCCGCCTAATCCTAATGACGACCCGCTGAGCCTCGGTCCCCCAACGACTGAATGGACAATGGTGGTGTCTGCAACTGGTGTTAATGCCGCCATGGAGGTGCCGACCAAATACTGCAAAAGCTGCAACATTTGGCGCCCTCCACGCGCTCACCATTGTCGCGTATGCGACAACTGCATTGAGACTCAAGATCACCATTGCGTCTGGCTCAACAATTGCGTCGGTCGCCGCAACTATCGTTACTTCTTCGTCTTCGTTTGCGCCACTACTCTGTTGGCAATCTTTCTTCTCGCTGCTAGCCTAACGCACCTTTTGGTCTGGCGAACTCGAGCTGGTGTGTCCTTTGGTGCTGCCATAAACGAGTGGCGTGTGCCCTTTGCCATGTGTATATATGGACTCCTCGGCTGGATGTACCCTTTCAGTCTTGGTGCATATCACCTTTTCCTAGTTGGGAGGGGTGAGACGACCCGTGAATACCTAAATTCCCACAAGTTTCTCAAGAAGGACCGACACAGGCCCTTTACTCAGGGTTCAGTTCTGAGAAACTGGTTAGCGGTACTGCAACGTCCACGCCCACCAACGTATCTCCATTTCAAGAGGAGTTACGAACAAGGTGATCAGCGATTTGGGCCTCGCAGAGATAAGCGAACAGCCCCGTTGGCGCCAGAGCAGCAAGGAGGAGGTGTGGAAATGCAGGACGTTCGTGCTTCAGAGGTCTTTCAGGGCCCAGTAGGTCGAAATACTGTGGAAGTTGGTGCTGCTTAGATACACACGGAGATCAGCTTCTGATTTGTTTTACTATGATTAAAATAGCGGTATTGAGCTATTGTGCTTACACATCCCCTGTCCATGAGAACACTAGTCACTATGTATACGAGATATGAGGGTGAAGTCATGTGTAATTATTCAAATTTTTGCAACATGCTTGCTGTGTACATGAAAGCCCGAAGAATTGAATCGTTTCCGGAGCCAGATCAGTCGTATTGCGAGAGGGGTGGGTGGTGCTCGTAACACTGGGATGGATAAGGAACAGCCTAATTGGCCGAATGACTAGCTACATATGTTTACCTCCTCAATCCTCCGACCGTCAACCCTCACCTCTGGAACGCCGCACCTCTCGATACATGCACAGTACTTCTTGTGAACCGATCTGACTGCTGTATATAGTTTTACTGTCGTTGTCCGCTTACTGCGCGTGAACTGTGGCAGTGTTGCTTGGTGAGCGCCATTGACCCGGCCAGACCGTCGACCTCCTCAGCGCGTCAGTGCCTCGCCCCTCAAAGACAACGACCGCGACGCGCGTTACAATCTTCCTCACCAGCCAACATGGCCGAGCGCGACCTCTCGCCCACGTCGACATCTTCGACACGGTCCAACATTACCGTGCGGACAGACAAGCAGGTCGATGATCGCGCTATGTCTAGCGCGTCGCCCTCCATCTCCACGCCCCCCACGAGCCTCGGCGACGAAACCAGCGTCCTTTCCGAGATGCCCAAGATCGAACAAGTCGTTGAAAGTTTTGAGGAGGCCACCGTGGTGGAAGTGGCATGCGACGCCGCCCCGTCAGCAGAAACCCCGACTCCTGAGCAAGCCAGCAGCGAGAGCCGCCGACCCGCAAGGAGTTCGCGCAAATCCGTTACAACGTACAATGTCCAGATCCTCGCCGGAACTGCCATTCATACTCCGACAAAGTATCTCGAGAAGCATCACAAAAATGTCGTTCACGGTTCATTAGAGGCCATTATAAAGACCGAGGCGCCACCAACAAAGAGGAAATACCAAAAGCGGAAGTCTGTAGCGGCAGATGGCAGCGATCAAGCCGAAGAGCAGCTGGCTTCCGAATCCACTCAGGCAGCCAGGCGTCGCACTTCTTCACGAGTCACGGATCTTCGCAAGGAGGTGCTCCGCAACATGTCAGGAGTTGGAGAGGCAGTGTCAAACACCCTTTCAGGAGGGAAGGCGCTACTTCAGGGAGGTCTTCGGCGCAGCGCATCCGCCCCTCAGCTGAAATCATCCAAGTCAAAATCAGCCACAAATTCCCTCAAGCGCTCACGTGCTGCAGTCGAGGAGAGCGACAGCCTCCCAGACAGCGAGCCCCAAGAAATTGCAAAGCCAAAAACCAAGGTCTGGCTGAAGCAAGGTCTGTACGTAGGCCAGGATCGTGATTTTGATCCTCGTCTCTCAGAAAGCCAAAATCGCGCAAAGAAGCGGGCCAAGAAGTCCAAGGAGTCCAAGGGAACCAACGCCCTACCCCTCCCGGTTTTTGCTACCGATCGTCTTTTGAACGAAGACCCAAAACATGTATTTCGTGATTTCAAACTTCCGTTTGATACTTACCATCCTCTGCCTAGAAAAGTCAAGGTGGATGGATGGGTCAAGTTGAACAAAAGTAGGTTCGCCGGAATTAACCAAGTGGCGCGGCTAACATTACCCAGACAGATTCATTGGTGATGCATCTGCCCTCTGGAAGCGGGACAAGCAAGACACTTCTCAATGCTATTGCGATGTGGACGACGGCTGTGGAGAGTCGTGTCACAACCGTATCATGGCCTACGAATGCGATAGTACCAATTGCCCACTTACCAAAGAGCAATGCAACAATCGACCTTTTGCAGAGCTGAAGAAGCGTGCAAAGGGTAACCGCTACGACTACGGTGTAGAGGTTCTGAATACCGACGATCGCGGCTTTGGTGTGCGCGCCATGCGAACTTTTGAGCCGCATCAAATTATTGTTGAGTACGCCGGAGAAATCATCACACAGTCCGAGTGCGAGCGACGCATGAAGCAGGTGTACAAGAAAGACAAGGTGAGATCTGATTATTTTAGCCTAATTGGTTACACTAACATGTGATAGTGCTACTATCTGATGAGCTTTGATAACAAGATGATCATTGATGCAACTCGTGGAACTATTGCCCGCTTTGTTAACCACTCTTGTGAGCCCAACTGCGAGATGATCAAGTGGACTGTTGGGGGTGAGCCCCGGATGGCTTTGTTCGCTGGGTCTCGAGGAATCATGACCGGCGAAGAATTGACGTATGATTACAATTTTGAGTAAGTTTTTCCAAGTTACTACACGTTGAGGAACGATTCTAATTTAGAAAGCCCGTTTTCCCAAAAGAATATACAAGAGTGTCGATGTGGTACCGAGTCTTGCCGCGGTGTGCTCGGTCCTAAACCTAAGAAACCTGTCGAGGAAAAGTCGCTTACTTCGACACTGATCGCTGGCACGAAGCGCAAGCTTCAGGATCTGCTCGGTTCAAAAAGGGGTGGCTCTGAAAGCACTCAGAATTCGCCGAAAAAGCGGAAGCTTCTTGCTGGGAAAATCGGTTCTATCAAGGCAAGAAACAAGTTGATTGCATCGCAGACGGCCCGCGAGCAAGCTGAGCAAGAAGCGAGTGAGCATTCTCGGCAGACTGCATCTCGCGAAAACCGTGCTCTCAAGAGGTCGGCGCCAGCGGCAACGGGCCGACAGGCTCGAGCAGCCAAGTCAAGTACTACTCGTCCCACTGCTGTCAAAGTCACCACACGCCACACAACAGTTACCTTTCAGCGTAAGGTTTCGCGACCGGGCGCGTTGAAATCCGTAAAGAAGTTTTCCCGAACAGAATCCGGTGCTCGCCAAGCCGAACCGAAGCCTAAAGGCAAGAAAGGAGTCCGATCCGCCCAGCGACCTAGTACTCCCGATCGAGAGACGGGCGATAGCGCATCAGAATCCGAAGACGACCATATGTCTGTAAATATTACGCCCGCCTCTTTGCGCAGCGCGGCTAGAAAATCCGCGCAATCCAGCCCCGTTGTACGTGGACGCCCAGACGCCGAATTGCAAACAAGTGGGACTTCTCAAAAATCTAACAAAGCTAGTTTATACAGTCCGGCAAAGCTGCAGTCCGCACAAAGTAAAGCCCACAGTGTACGAGGAAGGTAGGTTAGTCGACTTGGTAGTTTATAGACGATGAATTGCTCTTAGTATATGGTGTAAAATGGTTTGATTTCGGCTCTTTCTTCTTTTTATGTTCTTCTTAGGTTACACCTATGGAAGAAAGGTAATACAGTTCTCCTTTCTTGTTAGTTAGTTTTCTTCTTGTAGCACGTACAGGATGTATTGAGAGAAAGAAGTATACGGGGTCCATAACGAGGTATCATGCTTCCATCTTTGTTTCTGGCGAAAAAAGACGGGTAGTTGGGGCGGGAGAGTGGTGTTTTCTTGTTAGCGAGTATGGTCTTTTTTTGTATGCGTCGTTTCATCTTTCTTGTTCAACAATGAAATATGTAGTTATTGGCTGAATGCCCCCACTATATTGGTGTGTGTTTGCTTCAACGCGGATTCATTTGCTGCCCCAGTTGTGACGGGTGATGGCATTTTCTTTGATACAATGCTAGACTGCGTGGTTGTTTTGCTGCCTATTCCTGAATATGCCAATATTTTCAGTTTTGTCACCAAAAATGCGGCAAGATTGTGAAGTCATCTTGTCGTTCCAAAGTTTGCATCTCCTGGCATGCATCATCCCAGGTTGTCAAATCTATAGTGTACCGCGATTGGGCTGTCAGCGCTAGTTTACAAAAATGTCACTTCGAGTACATCATCTTTAGAAAGAGTGCAACCCAAGAGCATCTAATCTCTGTTTCTAAACGTGACACCAAATCTCGTATCTATCCATTGATATCACGTGTACAGGAATTGGGTAGTCTGTATGAAATTTTAGGTTGTTTTTGAAGCCAGGATGCCTAGGTATTAACATGTGAAATGCCACACGTAAGCACTCAGTGCCCTTGACCGCTACAAAATATAGGACAGGCATTGATTGGTGGACTCACTCATGTAGCGTAACGTCATTGCAAGACCTCGTGAGGCGCGTTTTTTGCTCGAAGCAGTTGTCTACACCGCGGCACCGCTTTGGGCCTAGCGCGCCAGCAACCTCGAGCTTGCATGCTAGGGTTATGTAGTCAAGGCCGTCGACGTGAATTTGTCGCGACTTTCTCCTTCTCTTTCACTTTCTTCTTCCCTCACTATTTGTAGAGTGCTTCAAGAGCACTGCTACGCCCCCAAACTCTCCCCGCCACGCCCCTCTGCGCCTTTCTGCGCGCACACGAAGCCTCCCGCTATGGGCTCCGCCGCCGCCGTCACTGCTCGCCGTAGCTCATGATGCCCACTACCGCCCATCCCAACCCGCTTGCCTTGCACGCCCCTGCGCCTGCGACCGCCGATATGAATGGCTCTACACACCACCATCAGCAGTCGTCGCTCTCGGTGCCTGCTTCCGAGCAGTTGCGACCCAACACCGCCGTACCTGCCAATCCCTCCACAGCCAACGATGCAGACGACCCTCCACCGCCTGTCCGCCCGGCCTCGTCTGGTCACCCATCCGCTCGCCCTGGCTTTGCGCGTGCGAAAAGCGACTTTGGGCCTCGTCATGCCGTCATGCCGCCCGACGGTACCGACGAGGAGAGCATTGATGGACACTTCAAGATTCGCCATGGCTGGCACGACCAACTGAACTCAGAGGAGTACAGCAACCTGCTCACGTCCAACTTCTTCATGTACTACACCGACAAGAAGCACGAGACAGGCGGGCACCCCAAGAATGACGACGGCGCGTTTCCCGTCCAGGAATGGCGCATGCGAGACCGCCTCAAGACTGTCTCTGCTATACTCGCCCTCTGCCTTAATATCGGCGTAGATCCCCCAGATGTCATCAAGACGAATCCCTGTGCAAAGGAAGAGTGTTGGATTGACCCCACCGTCACTTCACAGACACCGGGTCACACACCTATGAATCAGATTGGCAAGGCCCTACAGACGCAGTACGAGCAGCTTAGCATGCGCACGCGCTACAAGTTGCTGCTCGACCCTACAACAGAAGAGACAAGAAAGTACACATCGACGTTGAGGCGCAATGCCCGCAATGAGCGCGTCTTGTTCCACTACAATGGTCACGGTGTGCCCAAACCTACATCATCGGGTGAAATCTGGGTGTTTAACAGAAACTACACTCAGTACATACCCTTGTCGCTCTACGACTTGCAATCCTGGATCGGCGCCCCCAGTCTTTTTGTCTATGACTGTTCTGACGCCGGTCTCATAATCAGCAACTTCAATCGCTTTGCTGAAAAGCACCAGGCAGAATTTGAGGAAGCCCGTCGTAGGGACCCAAGCGTCGAGCACGTCGATTTTGCCGATTGTATCCATCTTGCAGCATGCAGGGAAAAAGAGTCACTTCCCACAAACCCAGAACTTCCGGCCGACGTCTTCACTTCCTGTCTGACCGACCCTATCACCATGGCCGTGCGATTTTTCATATTGCAGAACCCCCTTCCAACCAAAGTCAGCCTTCGAGATGCTCATAACATTCCAGGCAAGGTCTCCGAGCGTAGAACGCCTATTGGTGAATTGAACTGGATATTCACAGCCATTACTGACACCATTGCGTGGAACTCTCTCTCCAAACCCTTGTTCAAGAAGCTGTTCCGTCAGGATTTGATGGTCGCCGCTCTTTTCCGCAACTACCTTCTTGCACAGCGCGTCATGCGTGCCTACCACTGTCACCCTGTGTCGCATCCTGAAATTCCCCAAACACATGATCACCCGCTATGGCGCAGCTGGGACCTTGCTGTTGAACTCATTTTGGCCCAACTGCCAGCTCTTCAAGCTGAAGCTCGCGGTGAACGTGAGTACAACTACAAACACTCTGATTTCTTCTCGGAGCAGTTAACTGCTTTCGAGGTCTACTTGACCCAGGGTGCAGTCGAACAAAAAGTACCAGAACAGCTTCCCATAGTGCTACAAGTACTGCTGAGTCAGGTCCACCGACTGCGTGCTCTCATCTTGCTCTCGAGCTTCCTTGACCATGGTCCTTGGGCTGTGAATCTCGCACTCAGCATTGGCATTTTCCCATATGTGCTAAAACTACTGCAATCACAAGCCAATGAGCTCAAACCAGTCATGGTCTTCATCTGGGCCCGCATTCTTGCCGTAGATCAGTCTTGCCAGGCTGATCTTCTCAAAGATAATGGTTATCAATATTTCATCAGCATATTCAACCCCAATTCTGGTATATTGCTACAAAAAACCTGTCATACTGTCCATAAGCTAAGTGAAAACAGGGATTCCAATTCAAAATGCCAGCGAACACCGTGCAATGTGCGCCTTTATTATTTCCATGTTCTGCAAAGATTACAACCAGGGACAACGCGCCTCGCTTAACACAGAGCTGGTTGAGAGTTGCTTGGACCATCTCAAAGACATGCAAAATCCATTGCTGAGGCAGTGGTCGTGTCTCTGCTTGAGTAAACTCTGGGTAAACTACGAGGAAGCAAAGTGGGTCGGCATACGATGCATGGCACATGAGCGGCTATGCGAACTTGTCGTGGACCCTGTTGCTGAAGTCCGGGCTGCAATGTTGCATGCCTTGGCATCGTTCCTAGGTATTCGCGATGTTACACCACAGGTGGCTAACATTGAAGAATCCATCGCCTCCATGATCCTGGTCATGACGATGGATGGTAATAGCATGGTCCGAAAGGAATTACTCATCTTCTTTTCAACATTCGTCGCTCGTTACAAGAGCCGCTTCATTGTCGCTGCATTTGAACAATTCTCGGAAGAGAACACCGATTCAAGTGCAAAGCAATCGGATGACAAGACTGGCGACTCATTATACATGAAGAGCCGAACAGGCACCACAGGTATCTCCGAGTCGACATCCTGCTCACAAAACACCATCTACTCGGCAATATGGAAGGAACTGTTGGTCATGTCGGTCGATCCGTATCCAGAAATTGCGCGCGATGCTGGAATTGTGGTTGATTACATTCTGATGGCATTGATGGATTCGTCTCTGGCCAAGTTTGTACAACCGCAGTTGGATGAGACTCTCCAACACGTGCCAGCCCCTCGTCCAATGCGCCGTGTAGTAGACGAAGGCCCCGCCCCTCAAAAACAATCGAATCCCCCGACACCCACAAAAGACTCCACATACTTGTCTCTTTTTGGCGGCATCAGGAAATCGACAAGCGTGGGTGCTTCGCTTAAGAGCCTGTGGGCCAGTCATGATTCCGCCGGTCCCAAGCAGGGCTCGTTGGGAAGGACTGGTACAGAGAGTTCTCAGATGTCTACTGCATCACGCCCCCAAACACCGGAGAAGTACAACGCCGATGAGCAGCCAACATCTCGGGGGTTCAAGAACCGCAATTTGGCAGAAAAGCCAGAAATACCACTGAAGAGTGTATTCTTTGAATGGTCTGTGGAATACTTTAGGGAGCCCCAGATGAAGCCGACCGAAGCCGACGAGCCGGGCAGCACAGATTACAATGGCAGACTTTGGCGCAGGAACCGCAACGATAAGATCATTGCTGAGACCCAGCCGCTCAAAGACATTGCCATCTCCAATCGCTGGGATGTACCCCGCGGATATGTCGATAATCTCAGCCAACCTGCAAAGATGTTCTTCCACCAATTCGAAGATCATCTTGTCGTGACCGATACGCGAGATACTGTCAATATTTTTGATTACTCAAAGTCCGTCAATCGCATCAACAGCTTCTCCAACGGGAACCCACCTGAATCAAGAATAACTGATGTACGGTTCATCAACGAAGATGACCAGGCACTGTTGATGACTGGATCGTCTGATGGTGTCATCAAAATATTCCGCAATTATGATCGAAAGGGAGAAACGGAACTAGTTACTGGATTCCGAGCCCTGACAGATCTTGTCTCTAGCAACAAGAATGCCGGACTAGTATTTGACTGGCAGCAAGGTAGGGGCTTGATCTTAGTCGCTGGTGATGTCAAAGTCATTCGAGTGTGGAATGCTGGGACTGAAGTGTGCACAAATGTGAGTTGCATTTTGTGATTAATTCGTTTACTATGACTGACTTTTATAGGACCTCCCGGCGCGATCTGGTTCTTGCATCACATCATTGACGTCCGACCAAGTGGAGGGCGACGTGTTTGTTGCTGGCTTTGGCGATGGTGCCATACGTGTGTACGACCAGCGCCAAAAGCCTGCTACCGCCATGGTCAAAGTTTGGAAAGAACACAAGCAATGGATCACCAACGTGCATCTACAACGTGGAGGACAGCGTGAACTTGTAAGCGGCTGCCGTGGCGGTGAAATCAAGCTGTGGGACATCCGCTGGGACCGGAGTGTGAAGACCATCCAGGCTACTTCCGATACTCTGAGAACTCTGAGTGTCCATGAACATGCCCCTGTATTTGCGACGTAAGTTTCTCTCACCACTACTATGATAACCCAACATACTAACGTCACAGTGGCACACAACGACACCGAGTCAAAATCTTTAATATCAACAATGGCCAACCCGTATCACACCTTGAGCCGTACTCTGGCTTCCTTCGCGACCGCTCCTCTCCCATCTCTGTTACCGCTTTCCACCCTCATCGGCTGATGATTGCCGCAGCGGCAGCACACGACACTCATGTCAACATTTTCTCGTGTCACGAGCCCAAGAATGCTACTGTCAAAACAGTGAAGCTTTGGGATGGAGGTGCTACTGCATCAAGTCGATCATCCATACACGGTTGATCAAGATTTCTACTATCTTTTTGTTTGGTGCTTGGGGAGGGAGGATGTTGTGATAGTCGCAGGATTGCACAGTGGGTTATGTCTTTCTATAGAGCATACAGCGGGGCTCATGGAAGACCCATTTTGTTATTATACCCACCCACATTAATAAATAATACGGTATGAAGTAATGCATGCATTGTTAACCAGTTTTGCTCGCCATGCTGTGAGTAAAGTATCCATTGGGTGTGCTCGAGCCACAGAGCGCGGTGGCTGGGGTGCCTATGACGCTGCGGGGATGGCGGGGCTGTGATTCATTCATGTATGCCCCACTATCGAATTCCGACTGACAATTCCACACCACGCAGCTTTGGAACGCGACCTATAGCTTAGAACACCAGACACAACCACAATGAGTGACGCACCACCAGCCGGCGGCGAAGCGCCCTCCAAGAATGCGTTGAAGAAGGCGCAGAAGGAGAAGGAGAAGGTCGGACTCTGTTTTTTTGCTTTGCATTGGATCGACTGACATTTGCGCAGGCGGAGAAGAAGGCCGCAGCAAAAGCCCGCGAACTCGCTGAGCGCACTAAGAAGGAAGCGGATGACGCTGCCGATGTCTCTGTTGGCTCATACGGCGAGCTTCCCCTGATTGGATCCAAAGACTACAAGCCTACAGGAACTCCTCGCACCGACCTCACTGCCATTGCCGACAATGAGGACAAGGAGATCACATTCCGGTGCTGGGTAGAGAATGCAAGAGTTCAATCAGCCAAGCTGGCGTTCCTGAACCTGCGCCAGAACCTCAACACCGTCCAGGCTGTCGTTGCGGCCAGCGACAAGCTCAGCAAGCAGATGGTCAAGTTCTGCGGCAACGTCAGCACTGAGAGCACTCTGGTTGTTACAGGCCTCGTCAAGCGAGTCAAGGAGCCCATCAAGAGCGCGACCATTAGCAATTTTGAGATCCACGTCCAAAAGCTGTTCGTCGAGGCCAGTGCCGAGATTCCACTACCTCTCCAGGTATCTGATGCCGAACGACCCATGCCTACCGACACGGCGGCAGAGGAGGGCGAGAAAGAGGGAGAAGGAGACGAGCGTCCGCTTGTCAGTTTGAACACAAGGTTGAACAACAGGACACTTGATCTCCGGGCCAAGATCAACCAGTCAATTTTCGTCATCAAGAGCGGCGTATGTGCCCTGTTCCAGGAGTTCCTCTCAAAGAAGGGCTTCGTCCTAGTCCACACACCAAAGATTCTGTATGTGGCCCCTATTTTCTATTCATACTTGCGCTGATAAAGTATCAAGTGGAGCTGCTTCTGAAGGAGGAGCGAACGTCTTTGAGCTGAAATACTTTGGTCGTCCCGCCTACCTTGCCCAGTCACCACAATTCTACAAGCAGATGCTGATCGCATCCCGCTTCCAGAAAGTCATGGAGATTGGTCCCGTGTTCCGTGCCGAGAACTCCAACACTGCTCGCCATTTGACAGAGTTTACCGGTCTCGATCTGGAGATGGAGTTCCAAGAGAACTACCACGAGGTCATGAGCGTCTTGGAAGATCTCATGCTCTTCATCTTCAACGAACTCAACGCACGCTACAGCAAAGAGACAGAGCTCGTCAGGGGCGTCTACCACGTTGAGCCATTCAAGCTGCCTGAGTCTGGAAAGGTACCCAGGATTCCCTTCCAGGAGGGTATCAAGATGCTTCGCGAGGCTGGAGAGGAGCTCGGCGATTATGATGACCTGACGTAAGTTCAATCCACCTTCTACCCATCGGTCCATATCTAATATGTTGCATAGAACCCCACAAGAAAAGCACCTCGGCCGTCTTGTCCTCGAAAAATACGGTACTGACTTCTACACGCTCGACCAGTTCCCGCTCGCCATTCGTCCCGCGTACACAATGCCATCGCCCGCCGATCCCAACCTCTCCAACTCATACGACATGTTTATGCGCGGTCAAGAAATCTGCTCAGGCGCACAACGTATTCACTCGTCCGCTCTCCTCGCTGAGCAGATGCGCAAGCACGACCCCCCGATTGACCCTGCAGGCGCGGGAACAAAGGACTATGTCGACTGCTTCAAGTATGGTTGCCCGCCACATGCTGGAGGTGGTTTCGGTCTAGAACGTATTGTACAGTTCTGGCTGGGTCTGCCGAATATTCGCATGTGCAGCTTGTTCCCACGTGACCCTCAGAGAGTTGTGCCTTAGACGTGTTGTTGAGGTCGTGTGAAGGGTTTAGCGAAGGACAATATGCATATTGCGACATCAAGGGTGTGTGTTTGTAGTAAAACTGGATAACAGAAATTTAGAATATCCGTCGCAAAAGATGAAAGCAGAATCTTTTTCTTGGGAGTTTGATTATTTGAAAATATATGCGGTGAGGAAAGCTATTTGGCCACTATGTGATTACCTGCTTTTAGCTCTATTTCATTTGTTGGGTATTATTGCCTCCTAGTGCTCCTTGCTAGAAATGTATTACATGTAAATGGTAACCCAACTACTTTGGGGCCGGCTACTTCTTTCTTAGCATCTTGTCCCGCCAAAGGAAAACCCGTCATTTCAACAGATTTCCTAATCGAACTATGACCTAGGGCTGGTGGTGAAGGGAACCAGTGCCTTCTCTTGTGATTAATGAGCCTTGGTCCGTTGATAAGGAGAGGTAATTGCGACTCACGCCAGTTCCCTAGTCTCGTCGTGGTAGGCGTGAGTATAATGCGAGGTCGATTTTTACGCGTCACGTCCCTCCTCTTGGCTTGAACGATGCTGCCGTCAGCTCTAAAATCTTCTCTGACGCCGACGTGTCGAGCAAATGCTCTCTTCTTTCAGAAATGCATCCCATCGACCAGCCCTGCCTTACGAACAAAGCTTCAGCGTCGCACCCGCTAGCTTCTTCTGTCCCTCCTCTCCCAACGCCTTCTCATCAACCTCCTGTATCGCCTTGCCAATCGCCAGCGTCACCCTCACACTCCCCGCATCCACATGCACCAACCCATTCCTTCCTACCGTGACCTCGAACCCAATCTTCGCACCCAGCGTCTCCAGCAGCGTAATCCCACCACGCGCAGCAAGCATGCGCCTCGCCATTCCCAAGCTCACCTTGAACACCATACCACCCTTCAACAAGCCAAGCCCTTCGCTTTTACCGGTAGAAGGGTCCACGCAGGTGAGTTCGGGGGGCAGGTCTTTGCCTGCGCTTGCGACGCGGCAGTACACAAGCGAGTTTGGGGGGAGCTGGGGGCGCGTTTTCTTTGTCGCGCCTTCGAAGGCGAGGTGGGGGAGAGTGGCGGGCGGGGTGGAGGGAGTGAGGAGGCAGTTGAAGGTTTCGGCGGCGGAGCTGGAAACGGTGGCTATGACGAGGTCGCCTGTGTAGGGGAGGTACTGGTGTAGGTATTAGATGAGTTGGGAGGGTTTAACTAGGGATAGAGGGGGCGATTTACTCTTCCGCTGTTGAATTCGATCGAGGCTGCATTCTTCCTGTTGTCGGTGACCAGGGCGCCTGCAATAGTGGCTGTGACGGTGTCTGGAGGTATATGGCGTAGACCGGGTCCAATTGTCAATGTCTTTTTCTTGCCTGTACCCTGAGGCAAAGCGCTTTTTGGGATTTCATCGCCTGGGAGCACGATTGTTGGTGATACAGCCATGGCGAAGGTGGGTATATGGTGTTGTAGTAAAGTACTAACTTTTTGGTGGTTGAAGCAAGCATGTGCAGTGAGCTCATTCCGAAGTGCGCCCGTGCGCTTCCGAGAAAAATGCACCTCCGTACCTCGACGCCGAACAAGAGTGGAATTTCCTTAGCCGCGAAAAGAAATCGACTTTACACGCGCTACGACTTGACGACAAAGCAACCCAGACAGCCCTTTTTGCCCCTATTTATTCGCTTGAATTGGGCAATTGTCTGCATCGTGGTGACATTTTGTCATTCTTTTTTTTTTCGTCAAAGATAAGACTCGCTTCCCCCGCGCAAGATGAGTGCACAAGCAGACCCCGCGCAGCGGGTTGCGATAGGAATCTCCTTTGGCAACTCGTACAGCTCTATTGCCTTTACCACTGGTGTAAGTATTCCTCAATAGACATGATGAATACTGAGACACGACTGACACCAATGTAGGAGGGCAAGGCAGAAGTTATTGCCAACGAAGACGGAGGTGCGCCGCCTTGATGCTCGCCCACATTCTCTCGCCAATACTAATCTTTGCACAAAGACCGCCAGATTCCCACCGCCCTGTCCTACGTCGAGGGCGAAGAACTCCACGGTGGCCAGGCCAAGCCCCAGATTGTCCGCAATGCAAAGAACACTGTCGCATACTTTCGCGATTTCCTCGGTCAAGAGTATGGCTCTCTGTTCCCATCCTCTGTGTGTGTTCCAACATGGCTGACGCTATCCAAGTTACAAGTCGATAGACCCCTCGCCATGCCACCAGTCGGCCCACCCCATCGAGCACGAGAACAGCATTGCGTTCAGCATCCGCGACGGCACTGAGGAGCAGGAAAACACCATTTCCATTGTCGATATCACTACGCGTCACCTTAAGAGACTACGAACCTCTGCCTCTGACTACCTTGGAAAGGATGTCAACGCTGCTGTCATCACCGTTCCCACAAACTTCTCTGACGCCCAGAAGGAGGCGCTCAAGAAGGCTTCAACAAGTGCTGGTATGGAGGTCCTGCAATTCATCAGCGAGCCCACCGCCGCTGTCCTGGCCTACGACGCTCGCCCCGGTGCGCAGCTCGCGGACAAGGTCGTCGTCGTTGCCGACCTGGGTGGCACCCGTGCCGATGTTGCTGTTGTCGCATCCCGTGGCGGCATCTACACCATCTTGGCCACAGTTCACGACTACGATGTCAGTGGCTTCAAGCTCGACCAGGTCCTCATGGACCACTTTGCCAAGGAATTCATGAAGAAGCACAAGTCCGCCGGTGACCCCAGGGAAAACGATCGATCGCTGGCCAAGCTGAAGCTCGAGTGCGAGGCTGTCAAGAAGGCCCTCTCTATTGGTACCACAGCAAACTTCTCCGTCGAGAGCTTAGTAGGTGGCGTCGACTACACTGCCACCATTAACCGTACCCGATATGACCTCCTGGGCAACAAGCTATTTGGTGCCTTTGCTCGTCTCGTCACCCACGCGGTTGAGAAGGCCAAGTTGGATCCTCTCGACGTATCCGAAATTGTACTGGCTGGTGGAAACTCTCACACACCAAAGGTCGCCTCTACTGTAGGCGCAGCCTTCCCTGAGTCTACTGTTGTCCTGGCTCCCTCCACGTCTCCCTCAGCTATCAACCCTTCAGAGCTGGCTGTCCGTGGTGCTGCCATCCAAGCCAGCCTTATCCAGGAATTCGAGCTCGAGGACATTGAGCAGAGCACCCACCCCATGGTCACCGTCACTCCTCACCTTTCCACCGCAGTCGGTGTACTGTGCATCTCTGGTGATGAGTCTTCTGGTGTCTTCCACCCCATTGTCGACGCAGAGACACCACTGCCTGTCCGACGAACTGCGACCATCTCGACCCCACGCGAAGGTGGCGACGTGCTTATCAAGCTTGCCGAGGGATCAAGGCACATCAAGGTTACCAAGCCAGAGCCCAAGCCCAAGGCTGAGAAGAATGAGGATGACGAGGAGGACAGCGACGAGGATGAGAGCGAGGAAGAGGAGGAAGAGCTGAGGGAAAAGACATGGAAGGTCGGTCAGGCCCTCAGCGAGGCCGCCATCCGTGGCGTCAAGAAGGGCGCAAAGGTCGAGGTCCAAATCAACATTGGAGCTGACTTGAGCATAAATGCTATCTTCCGCGAGGTCGGAGGAAAGGGTGGTGTGCGTGGTACTGTCCAAGGAAGCAAAGTGAATGGTAGCGCATAAATGGGGAGTTGTTTGGATTGAGTCCCAACTTTCGCCCCCTAACGATTTACACATTCAATCTCTTAAGCGACGGCAATGCACGGCATACAAGGCTAGACTTTTTTGTCGCTTTTCTCTATATTCTAGGTTATAGGTGTCTGCGAAAAAATTTAGGATTTATAGACGCGTGGTATTTGCTGAGTTTGAGACTGTGCAATGTCTGGGGCTTGGTGATGTGTGAATACTGAAGTTACTGCAGTCTGTTATCAGTGATTCTGGCGCCGAGATGGGCATTTAGATGCCCGTACTACTGTATCAAGGGAGACTATGACTTGTTTTGAGTGGTTCCTGAGTAAGATTTCGCTGTCATGTGATAGCCGTATTGACAGTAACAACGGAGACAACGCAGCAAACGGCCCAAACATCCAACTCTTTATCCACGACATCTCTTCTGACTACCGATTCTGCAGCAGCCGAAACCTCGGCCTCATTTTCCTCCCCAATGTCGTCCCGTTAATCCACTCTTCATAATCCATATTTCGCGTCGTGCCAATCAAAGACCAAACATCCTCATAATGCCACCTCGCCTCGATCCAATTTTCCTTGTCCAGCTCCTCGACTAGCAGATATTCCAGCGCCCCCAACTCCTCTGCATACTCCACATGCCACTCCGTACTGACTCCGATATTCAAGTAGCGCAAACGACCAAGCCACCGCTCATCAATTAGCGAATACAAATCCGTCGGCGTAAAACTGCGTGAAGGATCGCCCTGGCGCCCACTGGATACAATCGTAAGACTAGTAAGCGGCCTCGCTTCCTGCCATCGGGTTTGCGAGAAATCCATCGGCATAGAACCGAACCGCGAGTCGATGTAATCGAGCGCTATAGTCAGCGACACGAGTTTCGGAAGCCATTCCAGCACACCGTTTAGCCGGCCTTGTTTCACAGCAGGTAAATCACGCAATTCAACGGCTGTGAGATTCGAAGCGAGCGTGCTGAGCAAAGGTCTTATGCCGGAGTGGTCGAGCGCGGGACAGTGGTGTATGCTTATTGAGGAGAAAGACGGAGGGAAGTTGTCAGGTTGTTGGAGCATGTCCCAAAGGAACTGACCGGAGACTGAGCCTGAGAGGGCGAGGTGTTGGAGACGAGGGGGCCAGCGCAAGGTTGAGGTTGGAGAGGTGGCTTTTTCGTAGCGGGAGGAGCAGCGGGGGAGGTAGAGTTCACAGAGTTGGGGGAGTTGGCGGATGGTTTGGTTGAGGGATTGAAAGTCGATGCATTCCGAGACTCTGCCGAAGCTGGGGCGTTAGGTAGGGTTTTAGAATTGTGAAATTTTCGAGGGATGGAGGTGTGTGCGGAGTTGGAGTGTTACTTACAGGCTCAGGTCTAGGACGCGCAAACGAGTACATTTGCTTAGGCTGGCCCAACAGTTTATTGCAAAGCTGGCTTGTGGTGCTACGAAGACTTCTAGGGAGGATTTTGTGCGTCCCAGCAGTCTTGCTGTTGTGGATTTTGCGCCTTGGTGTACGATGTGGGATAAGTCCAAGTCTTTGACTAAGCCAGATAATGGTGACGGCTGTCTTTTTTGTTAGTTTCTTGGTGTATCGTTTATCGTGGGCCTGAAGGTCTACAAGGATAACTACCTTAATGCGTGCATTAACAGAAGGACTTATGGTGCGAACGAAAAGGTCATATGCACGGCCCAAAAGGAATGGTGCCTCGTATAATGGCTGTATGGCTACCTGATAAGACAAATAAAGTGGTAAGCAGGTAATACATCAAAACGACCAAGATGAAACCTGACATACATCGTACCATTGCCTGTCCTGTCAGCTCACGTGAACAAGAAAGCATCTAGACCATGGCATACCTATTCACGGCGGAGAAGCGGGCCAAGGTAATTTGCCTCTCGAGCCTGCTCCATGACTCGAGATGGGACAGTATCTCAAGCAACAACTCATCGGGAAGGTAGTTGGCATAGTTTCCTGTATTACGCGCAGCCATATCTTACTGTGCTGGTTGTTATATGGTATATGAAACTATCGCGTAAGTGATGTTCCCGGAGAGCGTTGAGCGCAAACGTGCGGTTGAGATGACGCACTAGCACATAGTTTGTCGTTGCGCTTATCTCCTTGCTAAAACCCGAGCTTGGGGAAACGCCATGCACGCCGTCACGCTAGGCATTCATGCACGTGGACGCGCCGTTGCGCGACAATTAAACCACCTATCGAAGCTAGACACAATGTTGCACATCGACGGACGATTTACTCTTCGAGATATAACAAAAGGGCAAGTTACTTGTCCAGGATGCCAGGCCCACAAACACTCTCTCCGCAACGGACATGAGCTACTCCACACCCGGACTGTTAATCTACCCGGCTCGGACCGGGGTTGTGTTTACGGAAATCGATAGATAGACTTACAGCACGGAATTCACAGTGGTCACAGCGGACGACAAACCAGTGGGAGGTTTGCTATATGCCGCCCAAGGATAACACCAAGGTACTGCACAACATGGCAGGCCTTCACGCTCGACTATACCTGCCAAGCCAGAGCGCATAGCACAATCCTTGCACGCTTCAATGTCATTTTTCACCCTTTGCTCACCATCGGTCCTTTTTCGCTATGCAAAAGTCCGGCCCCAGCAATTCTGACGGGAAGCACAGCCGTCAGATATTAGCAAAACATGAGCGATTGTGGAGCTTACGTACTCGTAGTACCACTCCACAGTTATAAATCATATAACACGGCACGGATGACATTCCTACTCTACCGTGTAGTTCCCGCGTACAGCCAAGCCATTGGATGTACTTGGGTAGACTGGTGTGGTGTTTGTCCGATAATTGATTGCTTTAAGTCTTCACCCTTGCAGATCACTTATAAGGTTTAAGTCGCCTGCGACACTGGTACAAGTCCCTTTTCCTTGGAGGGAATTTCCCGGGGCTTGCCAAATTAGCCCAATTCACACTACTTTTTCTTGCTTGCGCAGATAAAAGGAATCCACGTTGCCCTCCTGTTCCTTTTTTGCCTCGGACAGCCCCAGAAGTTCGAATTTCTCACATCATGAAGGCGACTATCACCGCGCTAGCTTTATTAGGATCGACAGCCGCTGAGCGCCTCCTCCTAGCTTCTTATGGCACCGACTCGACTCTGGGCTCTGTTACAACTCTCGAACTCTATCCCAGCACTGGTTCTAAATGCAATCGCAAGCTCGAGGTTATTCACAACAGCCAAGAATGCGGTCCCCTTCCTACTTGGCTAGACACAAGTCTTGGTCAGAATAAGGTGATCTGCCTGGACGAATCGGGCAATGCCAATATCACGACATTCAATCTCCAGCCCGATGGTAGTCTGAAGAAGATTTCCAGTTCGCCTGCGCTCGGCGGCGCTGTATCTTCAGCAACTTATAACAACGGATCGGCTATAGCACTCGCTCATGTAAGTGCCTTTTATGCGTACAAGACAAAGTTTCTTACCAGTACTTTGATACTAACCTCACATCAATAGTATGGACCTCCAGCGATAAGTTCCTACTCCGTACACGGCAACTCTCAGCTACAGTCCCTCCAAAACATCACATTCGCCGACCCAGAAAAGATCCACCAAGCCGTCCTCGACCCAACAGGGCAGTATATGATCTTCCCCAGTCTGGGCGCCGACCGCGTCCACGTCTACGCCATCAACCCCACCACCGGCCAACTAGCCCAACGCGAGTCTCTAGTCTCCCCAACCGGCTACGGCCCCCGCCACGCCGCCTTCTGGACCTCCAAAAAATCAGACTCCACCTTCCTCTTCGTCGTCCACGAATTGAGCAACAAAATCATTAGCTACAAGGCCACCTACCTCGCCAACCACGCCGGCATCAAGTTCACACCAGTAGACGAAGTAAGCACCTACGGCAATTACACCCTCCCAAACAAAAAGCTATCCGCCTCGGAAATCTCAGTCTCCCCCGACAACGCCTTTGTGCTTGCCGGAAACCGCAACGGCACCATTTTCACCGTCGACAACCCGGATCCCAAGAACAGCACCAAAGTACCCAGTGACTCGATTGTGACGTATAAGCCGTCAGCGGATGGCAAGCTGAAGTTTGTCCAGCTGGCCAAATCTGGGGGTTATTTCCCGCGCCATTTTCAACTGAGCAAGGATGGTTCGATGATTGCGGTTGCAAATCAGCGGAGTAACAATGTGGCTATTTATGCGAGGGATGTCAAGACGGGAATTATCAAGGATGATAAGCCTGTAGCGGGAGCTGCGGGTCTTGGACCGGGAGATCTCATGTGAGTATACCTTTTTCCCGAACGTTTGAGTCAATTGCTAATTGTTATTTAGGTTTATCCAATGGGTCCAAGAGTAACGAAGAGGGAGTGTAGGTTGTGACAAAGGTCAAATAAGGGTTTGAGCTTCAAGTGTGTATAGTTCAATGATGCCAAAGAGCAATCTAGTAGATTTAGGTTTGTAAACCTAGATGATACATAATTCACTTTCAAGGTATTTGTTTGCCTTGTTCTTGTGCAATAGCCCATGCCACGGCATCCCATACATCACCCACAATCTTGCGTGGCTCAGGTGATGGTTTGGTGCCTTTGACGTAGACGCCGGTCTCTACTAATATACTAGCCCAATCGGTGCCGTATGGGCTCTTGTAGTTGTTGCCACCAGCAATGTCACTAGCTGGGTTATCACCGACCATGTAAACTCGCTTGAGATGGTCAAGTGTTCCGCCATACTGTTTCATCAGATGACTACGATGTGCTATGAGTCGCTTTTCAGCAAACTCATAAGTAGGCTGATGTGGTTTCCCCATGACAACTTTATGCAACTTGACACCTTTTGCCTCGCCACCAGTCACTGCTGCCCAAATGCCTTCAAAAGCTTCACGGAAACCTCCTTGGCCCAGGCGTGGAAGGTGGTATTTAGCGGCCCAGAGCAAGTCTGGATTAGAGTAATAAATGGTAGGTTGTCCATCTTGTTGGTAGCCACGATTCTCTAGGGCATCATTGCCGTTCTTCTTGGACAGAGTTCCCATGATACCCTTTTCGGATAGCAGGACGTCTTTGATGATTTGCGCATCGAGGCCCCAATCACGCGGGTCATTGTAAACGAAAACAGCATCGATACGGAGTGATGTTGACGAGGAAGAAGGGTCAATGGGAGCAGGTAGAGGGCGAGTAAACGTCTTGTAGTACGAAAGCAATTGCTGCGAAAAGGGCCAGACTTCTGGATGCGCCACCAAGATATCACCTGGGGTAACCACTGTCTTGAAGCTGTACAGATTTGTTAGGATACATAGCAACATGAATGTGCGTTTCTGCGTACCCATATGCCTCAGCAACTTTTCTGCATTTGTCTGCTTCGCCGCCAACGACCATGACCGTTTTGTCCTTGAGATGGTCCATGTCGGCAAAGGGTGTATGACTTTGAACAAACATGGACGTATCCAGAGGGATATTGAGCCTGCTGCTCAGGTCGGCGACGCGCTCCGACTCGTGTTTCCCGCCGCCATTTGTGAGCAGGATGAATGGGATGTGCTGCGCCTGGAGATAGGAAAGGGCCTGGTGTGCTCGCGGCAATGGATCGGCACTCCTAAGAAGCACTCCGTCGATACTGACAGCCGTCAGCGGCCGTGTTGTGAAACCGATGGCAGAGGCGCCTTACTCGAAAGCGAACGCAAAGTCGGATGCGGGGGTATGGGGGGCAGCAGCCGTTTGGAGAAAGCGACGAAGCGGGATATGGTACCCGCTACGAGTTAGTGGTCTCGCTGCCCGCATTATTGTTGCTGGTGCCATTGTCAAGGTGTTGTGTGTCGTTGAAGGTGCTGGACAACATGTGGGCGGAGCATAGGATGTCGCCCGCTGGACCCACTTTAATCTTCGGAGCCGTTCATGCACCCATCACACGCATCCGTAGCTGGCCCACTTCGTTCATCAACTGCGACCAACCTTCTTTTCTTCAATCCACATGTGTTCTTCATACACTCGCCTGCAAAATCAGCTTCCAGTATCTGCACTTGGGGACTTTCCCCACGACATGGAGTCAGCCTTAGCGAAAGCTATAGCAACTCAGCATTTGCGTATTGTCTGCCCCAGCATCCTTTCTAAGTTAGTTATAAATGATCTTGCAATTTATTTTACATATCCAACAACTTTCTTGGATGCTCAAATGGATACTATTGATCATGTCACAACGAGCTCCGCACCTATCAGGTGGAAGAGCAACCTTATCTTTGGTTACACAGCATTGCTGTAGCTCATTTGCTCAAGATAGGTCATGCGCGAACCCACTGCCTCGATTCTGAACTTAATATATTCATCTGGACTCCGCAAATTGCGGGGTACTAACCACAATACTGACACTATGAGCCCTCGTTGCGTACCCTGCGATCGAGACTTCAGCAGCGATGAGGCACTGCAGCAACACAAACGAGACTCACCAGCACACAAGTACGACTGTACAACATGCGATCGTCATTTCAAAAACGACAAGGCTCTGGCACAGCACTACCAGAATGCCGCTGTTCACGCCCAGTCTTCTGAACATCCAGCCATTCTTACGAGCTCTCCTCAAAAACAAAAGTCAACCACGAAACTGAAGTCGGCTAGGAAGCCGAAGACAAACAAAAAATGGTCGTTGTATCCTTTACTCCACAATGAAGTATCCGACCTCCTCTACAAAGACAACATTTCCTTCAGCTTCTACGAGAAGGACGACGCCAACGGCTGCATAGACGACTACGATACGAATATCATGGGTCAGTTCGTTTGCAGTAATACATCATGCCCGGCTGTTTGGACAAGCAAGCAAATAGCCATAACTATACGGAGATATCCCGACGAGCGATACAATGCAAGAGTGTATTACCAATCCTGCAAACGCTGCCACAGGACGAGTGAGCCACAACTAGATTCTTCATACGCAGAAAGAGTGGCATATCGTCTCAAAAAGTGGTCTGGCATCCATATGGAACGCCCTTTCTTCTTCTCAGGGCAGGGTAAGGGTCCACATAGAAGTGATCTATGTGAAGGGTGTAAGCAGGGTCATTGCAGCAAAATGGAATTGTGATTCTAGTCAACTTAGCAATGATAAGTATCGCGTTAGGGACGAAGGCCGTCCTTCTGTAGCAGCATCGATGTTATGGTGAGAGTAGTCGTTGCAAAATGCGTAGCTTTCGGAAGCAAATTTTTCATTCGTAATACCACCAAACAGTTGATTACACTGCCTGCTAGCGTCTCTCTAAGCAAATGAGACGATGCAGATGAAAATCAATCATCTCTCTCCATAATTGTCATAGATTCCCATCTATGTACTCCACAGTGCGACAGTACTGCACCTTCATGTAGAATGAAGTTCGTAGAAGAGAGCAGAAAAAGCTACATAATAACAGTCGACGGGCTACCAGAGAGATAGAGTGGCGCGGTATAGCTGATATAAAGAGTTAGTAGAAGCCATTTTGCAATGCACAGGATTAGAGAGACGAATAACTCAGCGACGCGAGTTAGAAGGATGACTGATACGCACCTGTCATAACATGAGTTTTGAGCTTGGTTGTTCTTGCTGAATGCTTACCTGTTCTCGAATTACTTCAGCTGCCAAGGCCCCACGGACCTAACCTTGGAGAACAATAGTAGTGGATTTTCAAGCCACAACCTCCTAACTATACTATTTGAACCCCTTCTGGACATAAATTTACTCTTTTTAGAGAAATCCCATGCTCAACACACAGCTATCCCTTCGCTATGTGCATACGACCAGTATTAACCAATGGATTCTAACATCGAGCCCGTCACATGGCCACCGTGATTATTTGTCGAACAAGGCTCTAAATTTTCGATATTCGTGCTATGAGAGGGTTTTGATGACCTGTGGTTCTTCCGACAATGACAAGGGGAAAAACGCCTCCGTGCACCGAATCCAAGAACAATAGTAACACGACGGGACGCAACCGCCACTCTTTCTCCCTACCTACACTGCAGCAACCAGAAAGGAAAATCTAGAACACTTTGACAATGAACAATTTCATCCCACAAAGGAAACCCCTTCTTTCTCTTCCCATGACGTCCGATATCCGTCCAGACTGAAAAAGAATATATAAGTTCTTCGAGCCCTTCGAGTCCAACTTTCTCACCACTCAAGTCATCAGTCCTTCAACCACTTGAACCACTTTCGCTCCAACTATATTCTTACACAAGAAAACCCTCTTCTCTCTCAACTAAAATCAAAATGGCAGGCGTTGTTACTGGACCTGGTTGCACCATCTCTCGCCGTGGCGTCGTTACCGGACCCGGCTGCACCATTTCCCGCGGTGTTGTCACAGGCCCGGGATGCACCATCTCTCGTGGCGTAGTCACTGGACCAGGCTGCACCATCTCTTAAACAGTCTTGCCTAGTTGCGAGAGCAAGAGAAGGGACTGGCGGTTATTATCATTCTTCCAACGAGTATTTTTTTTAAAAAATGAAGAGGGAATGATGGGGGAGAGGGAGGAAGAGTGACTTGCTCTTTCTTTCTTCTTCTTCTTTTCCACCTGTCAACCTCGGCGCTTTGTTACTCTGCGATTACCAACTTCGACTACGGACACCGGCTTTGAAATCGACAAGAATCTTCGACATGGCACATTGAACAATGGACGGACGAAAAAAAAAGACTTGTTTATGGGGCTCGTGGGATTGGAAAAGTCGGTGTGGCTGATGCAGGGTGACAGGGCTATTATTTTGTTTATTATTGCATGTATCTAAATATTTTGAGGCAAGAAACCAATGGAAGGAATAGCTTGATGGGGGTATGCTCATACTGTGATATGTGATAGAACTTAAACTTTTTCTGATTATCGATGCACTATGTGATGTCTGATTGAAAATATGTATCGTCTTGCTTGGGATTAAAGCAGGCGGAAGGAACGTGTTAGCCTCAGTCACGTGATTTGGCGCTAGTCTAGAAGGTACTCGTAACACCTCGTTATGGATCGGACAAATAGCATGTAGCTGAGGTTGCAATCAAGTTTGTATTCCCAAGAAGAGGTTTGATATTCAGACATGTGTATCTGAACGAGTGTTAGTCCGTCGCACGCACTTGCTGCTTACTTAACACGCAACTGCCTTTACGTCTAGTGTAAGTTCGTGTAAGTTTTATGCAACATGTGTAGCGCCCCTCTTTTTTTTTTAGTTTTTAGTTTATTTTGTGTGTAGGCAGAGTATATTAGCATGCGGCGGTATTTTTCCATCACGTCCTAACGTCAGACCATCTTGTCGTGTTGCCGAAAGCGCAATGGCCAGTTCTTAGAGCTCAGGTATCCGATATTCTCTCCATAAATAAAAACCAACGGGACTTGGCGGCCAAGGATGGTTGGGGACAAGCGGTATCTCGCCCCTGCGCTCAGCAAAAGAAGACATGGCAATATTAGACTGGATAGTGCTTGAGAGCAAGGAAGACGTCTGGATAAACAATGTCGCCAGGAGGATTAGTACAGTTCAACGGCGTTGGCTATATATGTCCACACGTACCCACTCCAACGTGTAGGCGCAAGGAGAGCCAAGGCGCCAGTCCCAAAGCGGCATGGCGGTGAGACGCAACATCATCATTAGAGTACCATACACCGGTACTGGGAGACGGCGGCGGCACGGTCGGGCGGAGAACCATCGAGTAAGCACATACATATATATGTCGGCATTGCTAGTACTACTAGTTAGCAGGCAGGGTACGGCTACTTGCTCACGCAGCTGACGGCCCTGGTAGGTAGATACAGAACGTGGTTGATGAAGCAACCAATGGCAGTGGGCATCACACTGGCTAGCCTCGTCGGGAGAGCGATCAGCGCGCGGACGCTTCTCAGGGGGCGCGGTGCGCCATGCGATCACGACGACCAGGGCGGCCAGGGCGGTCTCTGCGAGCAAGGCCAGGGAGACGAGGCTATTGCGGCGTACACGCAGCACCCGACCGTTGTCGCGTTTCGCTCCTCGTTGGCTGAGTGCTGCTCAAATCAAATCTAGTCAAATCAGACGTCAGCCCTGTGCTGTGCTGTGTTGTGCTGTGCGCCGTACACGCTCCCTGTCCATCTCCTCTCCTCTTCCTCTTCCTCTGCTGCATCACTACACCACCATACCCCCAAACACCCTGACAGACGACATGTGCGCGCGCCCTGTCCGTCTTTCCGCCTAGACACCTAGCCTCCTCCCCCAGTGTCCACCACGCCGCCCAACACACCCACCGTCTTCGCAACCCGAATGCGTGCGCGATAGGCCCCGGGCTGCCATTGCATCTCCGCTCTCGCAGCACTCCCGCCGCCATGTCCTTTCTCTTCGGCAAGAAGAACAAGCAGCAGCAGCAGCAACAGCAACAGCAACCCACCACCGCGCTCCCACCAGCCACTAGGGATATCACATCTGCACATGGCCCATCGCAACAGCCACCCGCGCTCAACGGAGCCCCTGCTCGCGACGCTGAAAAGTCTCGCGGTGGCCCCCAGGGCCCTACCACGACCCCTAGCGGCAGCGTCAACAACTCATTAAGTTCTCTTCAGGGCTCTGTCAACGCCTCGACGCCAGAGCAAAAGGCCCTCCGTGAGAAGACAGATCCCAATGCCCAGGTCCGCTCTGCTCCACTCCTTCTCCGTTTGTGCGCCTGCTGACTGCTCCCAGAATGCAAACAACAGACTCGGCGGCGGCAATGCCTCGGAATCTCCCTACCCGTGGTCGTCGCGCCGCCTCAACTTCACCGCTGGCAATCCCTTTCCTCGATATGGCGCCGCCATCAATTCCACCGCCTCGAAAGATGGCACCATCTATCTCATGGGAGGACTCGTGGGCGGCGCGACTGTCAAGGGCGATTTATGGTTGACGGAAATGGGGAATGGCAGCATGACATGTTATCCCATCTCCACCACCGGAGACGGCCCTGGACCGCGTGTCGGCCACGCTAGCTTGCTGGTCGGCAACGCGTTCATTGTGTTTGGAGGTGACACCAAGCTGGCCGACAACGACGACCTTGACGACACTCTCTATCTCCTAAATACCTGTTTGTGTTCCTCCATGTTTGTTCCTACCTCCTAGCTGACGGCGCCCTAGCAACCAAACACTGGTCGCGCGCACTACCCCAAGGTCCCCGCCCTACTGGCCGCTACGGACACACGTTGAACATCCTTGGCTCCAAGATATACATTTTTGGAGGTCAGGTCGAGGGCTTCTTCTTCAACGATCTCGTCGCTTTTGACCTCAACTCGCTACAGTCGTCGGCAAGCCGTTGGGAAGTCTTGCTGCCAAACTCCAAGGAACAGACGTCTCCCCAGGGCACATCACCACAAGCTCGCACAAACCACTCCGTCGTTACATGGAATGATCAACTCTACCTGTACGTATTGCGCCTGTTGAATGCGCATAATCTTGTCTGCTAACTCATCCCAGCTTCGGTGGCACAGACGGCATTACCTGGTTCAACGATGTCTGGACATACAACCCACGCACCAACACCTGGACGGAACTTGATTGCATTGGTTACATCCCCGTAGCTCGTGAAGGCCATTCGGCCGCGCTGGTCAACGACACAATGTATATCTTTGGCGGGCGCACCCAAGAAGGCGTTGACCTGGGTGACCTTGCTGCCTTTCGCATTTCGTCGCGCCGCTGGTACATGTTTCAAAACATGGGTCATTCTCCCTCAGCGCGATCTGGTCACAGCATGACCTCATTTGGAAAACATATTGTTGTTCTCGCTGGCGAGCCTAGTTCGTCCATTAGCGATAAGAACGAGCTCAGTCTCAGCTACATCCTGGACACCTCGAAGATTAGATATCCACCCAATGAGAGCGCTCCCCTTCCACCCCAGCAGCAACAGGCACCAATCACTCAACGAAAAATGAGTGGCGGCGAAAAAGGAATCATGCCCCCTAAAGTTGGATCACCCCCTGTCCGGGAAAGCATAATGGCCGCCTCACAACTTTCCTCTTCTCCCGACAACATGACAAACGGCTCCATGTCCGCAGGATCGCGGCTGCCACGCGCAGCCAGTCAGCAGCCAGGGCCACCACCACTTCAACAACCGCCACAGCCACGAGAAAACGGTGCCAAGGCTAGGAGTAGAACCCCTACCAAGAACGAGCGTGGTCATGGTCCTCCTCTCGACATAGGCGCTGCAGCTGCAGCTAATCGAGAAAACGTATCGCAAGGAACACGGGATAGTCCGCTTGCGAGTGACATGGAGCGGAAATCTTCTGATGCTGTTGGCGGCCGACGAACACCCAAGCAGTCGATGGACACCGTACGGTCTGCCAGCACGGTTTCGCGAAACACATCCAGATCGCACCAACAACAAGCCTCACAGGAGAGTATAGATCAATCAGTCAGGCCGTCAATGGATTCTCAGCAACAACGTGGTCCAGTCAAAGAAGTCCAGCACCTGCGCAATGACAGCGCAAAGAACGCATCGCCAGTGACTGATCCGCGCAACAATGAGCTGGCTCGAGAACTTGAGCACCTCAAAAGCCGCAATGCATGGTACGCCTCGGAACTTGCCTTGGCGCGCAGGGCAGGCTACAATGCCGGTACTTCGACAAGCCCTGTCTTTGACGAACGATCCGCCGACTCATTCCGGGACGAAGACAAGCCATTACTGGAAGCACTTCTAAAAATGAAGACTGAACTCGAACGCGTGCAGGCCTCGATCAAGACCCAAGGTGAGGATGCGGCAAGGAGAATTGCTGAAGTAGAAAGACAGCGGGACGCAGCCGTCAGTGAAGCCATATACGCCAAGACCAAATTGGCTGCTCATGGAGGTAGTAGCAGACACGGAACACCACAGCCTGATGGACCCCGGAACGTCAGTACGCCTGATGCTGATCGCCTTCAAGACGCCAACCGCCGGTTAGCTGCCTCCATAGCAGCTCAGGCTGAACTGACTACTAGGGTCGAGCAGTTGACGCGTCAAATCGAGGCCGAAAGCAAAGCACGACAGCTGGCAGAAGAGACGGCAGAAGCGGCACAGAAACGTGTGAATGAGCTGGATTCAACGCGACAAAAGGCCACTGCTGAGTCTGAGCACCTACGTGCCGAGCTTCACGAAGCTGAACGAATCGCAAGAGAGGTCTCCACGAGTGCCGCAGAGTCAGAGTCGTCGGCCAAGCTTCTGGCCATTGACAACCAAGAATTAACCACCAAGTTTGAGAAAGCCTCTGAAGAATCAAAAGCTCAAACCGCCATTATCCAATCCTTGCGCGATACTGCTCTTGCATCCACCGAGAAGGCAGCGCTATTGGAGAAGAAACTCAGCGAGGAGCGACAGCAGAGCGATGCCCTGCGTCAGAAGCTAAGTCAATTGCGCAGTGAACATGAAGCACGGGCGACCGAGCTGGAAACTATTCAACAAAAGCTTCGCGATGCAGAGGAACTTGCAGAAAGTCATGCAGAGGAAGCACGCATCCACCGTGCCACTGTTTTCTCAGGTCTGCAGAGCATGACTGAGCGATCTGAACAGGACGGTGTAAACGCCGATGAGCGAGTCACTGTGCTGAAACAGCAACTCGAAACCGCGACCTTGATGGCTCGCAAGAACCAAACGGCAGCAGACCAAGCTTCGGAGAAGCTCCGCCGAGCGGAGGAACGCATTGCTGGTTTGGAAGCTTATCAAGAGCAGTCCAGCCGCGAAGGACTCAGCATCCGCAAACAGCTGCAACAGGCCATGCGCGATGTACAGCTCTCCGAGGCTGAGAAGATTGAACTTCATCAGCAGCATGAGCGACTGCGCCTTGAGAGCAACGCATTTGAGGTGCAGCTCAAGACACTCCGTAACCTTCTCGAAGAAAGGGGCGTCAATCCTGTTGACGCCCGTCGCTCAAAGGTTTTGGACAGCCCTAACTCCAGGTTCGGCACCCCAGAATTGAACCGAGTTCGTGAACTCGAGCAACAGGTCGACGCCATGAACAAGGCACACGAGGAGCTACGTGCTGTATTTGAAGAGCGTGAGCACGAAGTCAGCAAAGAATGGGAAGAGAAGCTACAGGCGCTGCACAACGACCACCAGGCTGCTGTCAAATATCTCCGAGGTACCGAGAAGATGCTCACCAAGATGAAGCAGGAGCTCGACCGCTACAAGAACGCCAACTCTAAGCTTGAAGAGGAGCTGGCTCAAAAGAAGCGGGAAGCGCGCAGCCCTGCTCGAGCAGACACTGCTGAGCTGGAGGCAGAACGTACCGCACTCCGCTCAGAACTATCAAAGACGCAGGAGAAGATGGATACTACTGTTGCCCATTTTGAGAGTCAGCTCTCTCAACTACAAACCGAGTTGGCTTCCGCCCGCGCCGAAGCTGAGAAAGCAGCAGCTGCCACAAAGCAAGCCGAGGGCCAAGCATCCCAATTTCAGGCCGACCTTGAAGCGCTCCGTAGCCAGCATGCGCAGGTGGAAGAGCGTGCCCGGGAAGCCGAAAGCCGGGTGCAAATGTTCTTGGACCAGTTCGAAACATCAGTTGACAACTACCGCCGTCAATCACAGGCTCCGGGTGACGCCTCTCGTTCTGAGCACGCACGCCACCGTGGACACGACAGCGTCGCTTCGGGTGAGTCGCTGTACAGTCACAACGATGGTTCCAGTACGCCAGAAGCTATTCCCCGCCCCGACTCTGCTGCTACCCGCAACTCCATGGCTCTCGACAGCCTCGCGTCCGAACTGGATGCCCTCCGAAGCCACTGGGAGACCACCAACAAGGCCTACCGCTTGAGCGACCGCTTCGACTTTGAGCGCACGCCTACGAACGAAAAGACAACATTGAACGAGTCCCTCTCACAGTGGAGGAATAATGTGGACATGGACGACAGCGATGATGACGATGAAAGCATCAAGGAGATCAAAAGTGTCAAGGATGTCAAAGACGTCAAGGACGCCAATCCCACGAAGCCTACATCTCCCGTTACCCCGTCTGCCCCACAAACTCATTGATACCCCCTCGCAAAAAAAGGCACACAGGGCTTGCATGAAAGACGCTTGTTTTTTTGCTTCTTCTTTTTTCTTTTCTATCCCATCTACTTGCGGGTTTGGACATGCTCCTGGACACCCCGTCTGGCGTCAAACTGGGCTGCAATACAATCCTTCTTCTCCCTCTGGATTGGAGGGGGTAAAGGAGAAGGGCTTTCCCCCCTTGTTCTATACCACTTTGCTTTCTCTGCAACTTGCGAGCTATCATGTCTGTTTTGACCATATGATGATTGCGCAAATCTTCTTCTTTTTTTTTGGTTTGAGTACTATGTACGCTGGGCTTGTTGATGGGAGGGAGATGCGACGAGAAAACAAGGAGAAGGCCAGCTCAAGCTTTTTTGTTTGGATTTTTTTGTTGTAAAGAAACCTTTCGGTTAGTATACATATTGTCATGTACCCGACTGCCCACCTCCCTGTTTACATTGCGCGCAACTCTGTTATTCTCCGTCAATGCCGCATATGAACTCTGTTTTGGTTTTTGGTTTCTGGTATAGTAGACTTGAGTTCGTTCGTCGTCGTCGTCGTTGTCGGTTGTGGTGGGAAAAAAGAGAGAGAGAGACCCCTAATGTGTATTACGAGCCCTTTGTAAGTCTTTTGGTCTGTTGTTGTTGTTGTTTGGTTATTGTTTGGGTGGAGGGTGGTTAAAGTGCCCATGATGTATGTAGGCTAAGCCTTACTGGAGTAATATTGCAAGTCTGTTTTTTTTGGAGATTATTGATGAGTTTACACATGAGTACTAGTGCTATCGTGACTTGTGCTTCTAGAGTCACTTGAATAACATCCATGCTTGTGCTGTTGCTTCCATGCCACGCATGACCCGTTCTATACGCAGACGAATTCAAGTTGGGGTTGGGGGGGGGGGGGGTGTATGAAGCGTTTGAATACATCTACCCCCGTACCCACCATCTTTCTCACTGCAAACCCCACTGCTGTACACACGCCCTCGACCGCGTGCCCCTTCCCCAGCACAATCGCACCCACAACAATACCAAAAAAAAACCCCTCGAATCCAAACACTCTCATTCTCTACCCCCACAGCTCACAATCCTTATTTCAGCCGCGTGCACACCCAGACTTGCCTATCTCCCCCCGGACCGTGCCCTCACTCACTTACTTACTCACTTTACTACTCCTCACCGCACCCAGCCTCCCCCCTCCCCAGCACAATAACGCCAAACACAACTAATTACGTTGGTAGTTGGCAAGGTACAATAGCTTCTGGTGGAAAGAATAGAAGCTGTGGGGAAAAAAGTGGGGTATTATTGTTTGTTGTGTTGGGATAATAGGTGGTAAGACTGTTGTTGGACAATGAGGGGGGGTATTGTAGTGATGAGGTGAGGAGGGTTGGTGAGGTTGAAGAGGGGGGGTTTTTTTTTGACTGCTTTTATAATTGCTTGCTCGCCGTCTGCCTTTTCTAACTTCTTCTACCTTCTCGCTCTGAATCCTTTTTCTTCTTCTGTACTCTACTTTCTGGAGTTTGCAAGTTCTTTTTCTCCTTCTTCTTCTTCTCCTTCTTTTTCAACAAGCAGTATTCTACGCTTTCTTTTTTGTACGGGCTGGCACCGTCGTTCCTACGCGATTTTGTGAACGAGGGATCTGGTATCCCCACACGTTTTTGCTTCTTTATACGCGAGTATAGAAGGGGAGAGAGAGAAGGTATGGCGTCACGTCGTGCCACTGCTGCTCCTGGTGAGCCACAGAACACTGCAGGGGTGTCGCAGGCGACTCCCGAGTCTTTCAACTTTTCAGACGGGAATCACCGCTTGCTGGATGAGGATTTCGATGCCTTCTTTGATCTTCCTGCGGAGCCGCTGGAGAACTTGCCTCAGCTTGTGTGGGATGAGCTTCATGAGGTGGTCGAGGTTCCTACTACGCCTGCTCCTGCTCCTGCTCCCGCTCCTGTTTCTGCTCCTATCTCTGCTCCAGTCACGCATGCACCACAGGTATCCGGTACATGGTCGCAGCCAGCGAATGAACCGGCACTGAACATGGGTCCTGGGGACCTATTCGGTCTTCCCGATTTCTTTGCCGATTTTGTACAAGCTCCGATTGATAATGGAATAGGAAGAGAAGGAAGTGCAGGGCTCGGTGTGAACTTCAACTCCAACGGTCTCGACGCTACCTTGACTGGACCTTTCAACTTTCTCAGCGAGGGATTCGACTTCCAGAACACCGGGTTTTTGCCGGCTGCAAACAGCTTCGAGACTCCGGCATCGCTTCAGCCGGTTCAGGGGTTACAGTCGAATTGCAGTGGTGTCATGACCAACTTCTATGGCAGTGGACAGAATGCCTACAACGGATCCTCGACTGTGCCTGGTACATATGGCTTTGTCCAGAATGGCCAGAATGAGTTCTCGGCAGGACCGCAGAACTATGCCACTGGCCATCAAGTCAAGAACGAGGTCTCACCACATGCAAACGACTTCGTCTTTGTTCACAACGACTTTTCGACACAGCCAAACGACTTCATCTTCGTCCAGAATAACAACAACAACAACCAGTTCTTAGCACAACCAGGAAAAAACTTTGGCCAGAGTGCGAATGTGAGCGGACATGGCACGCAAGAGGTTCCTTACACTTTCTCAGACAGTGAGCATGCGTCGCAGGCGACTCCTCACAGCGAGGGAAGCAATGGATTCGACCATGTCCATATCGAGGAAGCCGGTTCAGTCAACCCTGTCGGGCCAACAAACCCATCACCACATGCAGGCAATCTCGGGCAATCAGATATGGATGCGATTTACCAACAGTTCATGAACAATCAGGGTTTCCGACGAGCCGTACCTGCTCCTACAGTTCCAGCTCCACCAGCTCCAACTCCAGCACCTGTCCCCGCGCCAAGGCGAAATCGAGCATCGACATCTGCTCCCGCACGAAGGGGTAATCGGGCATCGCCATCCGGTTCTGCACCAAGGCGAAGTCGAGCTTCAGCATCCGTTCCCGCATCAAAGCGAAGTCGAGCATCGGCTCATTTCCTTCCTACTACTACGGTTCCTCCTTCTCTTCCTGCTGCCACTGCTTATATGGCACCTCCGTCTGTTGTTGCAACCAACACATCCACCGGCGCTACTGCGCCTCCTGTACCCGCAACCTCACTGGGTAACACCAACAACGTACCGTTAACTGCACAAAACTACGTCCCATTTATCAACGACGGCATTCTCCCCCCTAATCCAAACGGACCCAGATCGGTATATCCCCCATTTAGTAACCGCTTTGCCACAGGAGAAGAAGCCAAGGCCTGGCGCAAACGTTCACGCGGAATGATCAAGGAAGGAGCACCAGATCTCTTGCGGGTAAAGCATTTCGGACGTAAGTCGACTCTTCACCCTGACCCCCCTCCTGCTCTCCCTCCCTCTCCACGGGGAAGTCTAACTAGTACGCCCCCAGGTGATCACTGGGTCCGCCGCATCTACGAATCCATGATCGATATTTCCAACATAGACGATGGCAAAGATTCGCCCCACCGCCGCCGTATCGTGAAAGAGCAAGCCCATGAGCCCTGGGACCTCGAAGCCACGGCACACCACATCTTTGACCGCGCCGTCGCTGTGCACGAGGTTGGATGGAACAGGTCGATGGTTTACTACAAGGAAGCCAAGCGGGGAAAGCTTATTGACCTGGGCGAGAAGTGTCTGGAGAAGAGACTCACGTGTATTTGCATGGCGCTGCAGCAGCAAAAGGCCGTCGTAGATGATGCGGTGAGAGGTGGTATCACACTGAGGCTGTTGTGCGATAACCCTACGGCGAGGGCGGCTACCAAGAAATCGAACAATACGGGGAATAGGAAGAGGGGGATGAAGCTGAAGGCTCTGAAGGAGTTGGGTATTAAGGTTCCTGATGTGCCTAAGGAGGGTGAGGAGCCTGAGGAGCCTGAGGAGCTTGAGGAGCCTGAGGAATCTGAGGAATCCGAGGAATCCGAGGGACCTGAGGAATTTGAGTAATGGGGGGTTACTACTGCGACGCTCTTTCTTTCTTTTCTCTCTTCTTCTTTTTCGATATTCACTTCGGGCGTTTTCACATCTCTGGCTGGCGGCTGGTTCCGAAGCCTTCGGGGATTTCATTCTTCGATACCCCATGCGATCATGTTTTATCTTCTTCTCTTTTCAACAGACGAGTAACTCATTGCTTTTTTTCAGTAGAATTTAACTCCACCCACACTTTCTACTTGCATTTTCGCGGGATCCTGACTCTTTGTACTTTCTTGACCCGTCTTCTTCTCTGTAGCCTCTTCCTGTAGTGCTGCCTCTCTCATAGCCCTTCTCTTCTTCTTGCTCTGAAACAGCGCCTCCTCATCTTGTATGTCTTTCAAAACTATTCCACACGTCAGTCTTCCATACCAAGCCCATCAGAATACGAAAAGAACTCACCTTGTTTCCACTCCCGTTCCTCCACTACATTACCTGTACCCAAAGCCCCCTCAACATCCACCTTCTCGCCCCTTTGCACTCTCTCAATGACCTCGCGCAAGATCCCGATCTTGGCCTCTGCCCTACGCAAGTCGTGATTACGCTCCTGTTTCAGCCATAAGATTTGGATGGCTTGGCTGCCGACCAGCAGGCCGAGAATAATGTATGGTGTGGCGGGATTCCATTCTTTGGAGCGGGGTGTCTCGGCGCGTGTTTTGAGTGGCTTCGGAATTAACGAAGCCCAGAAACTGGGCTGGACGATGCGTGGAACAGATAGGTAGCGGGGTTGTGTGAGGGGTTGTGTGTAGGCTGCGAATGCGCGCATGTGTGGGCGGGTGGGTTGTAGGAGGACATTGCGGTGGGCGGCGGGCATGCGGAGGAGCTGACGGAAGAGTATGGAGGGATCCATGGCTTTATAATTTGTGACGGCGAGCAGGCGGTCTTGGTGCGCTGAATTGGAGACGACAAGTCAAGTCGTGAACTATTACATAGAATTTCTGATGTTGATGCCTAAAAGGGTTTAGCGTTGTATTTCACAGATACCGAGGTCCGCCTGTCTGTATCATATGTATGCCTACCCCCGGCCGCCTCCTTAGGGGCGTCTCAGACCCCCTTCCCGTATATTCTACAAGAGCCTTTCCTTTACAACATGAGTGATTCGGAAACAAAGAAAGGTCCCAGGTTTGGCGGTGCCTTTTCTGATTCGCCTACTGACAAAGTCAAGCAATGGGTTTGTCCATCTCTCTCCGCCTGCATCATGTCTTGCTGACATGACCGTCGCGAAATGCTAGTTTGACGTGATTAATGGCTTCGAGTATAATGTATGTTTTTTTCTTGCCCAAAACTCCAAGTTCGGGCTCTAATAGAGTGGTAACATAGGGCCATGATGCCATCGTTGCCAAGATACTCAAGCTAGAATCAGTCACGTATACGCCGTCTAGTGAGAATCCGCATGATGCGCGCACAGTTTTCAGCTTTGTGGTGCCAGAGGAACTCTGCAACATTGGAGGCAATCTTCATGGAGGCGCGGTAGCATTGGTCTTTGACATCGCGACGTCGCTGACTATTTTGCCGTGTGCGCGCGAGGGGTTCTGGGATGGTGGTAATGTTTCACGAAATCGGTAGGTTATTGAATGCCAAATGGATGACGCGTCTTGCTAATATTTGGCAGTAAGTGCTGCGTTGTGTGTGGGAGTTGAAATGCCCTGATATTACGTCGTATTTTCCAAGTCCTTGTCAGAACCTTGCTAACTGACACCCAAAGTCAACTGCACGTACGTAAGGCCGGCGCCGGTAGGCTCGACCATCTTCGTGGAAAGCTGGGTTGTGCATCTGGGCAAGCGCATGGGTCTAACCATGGGGACAATGAAGCTGGGTTCGAAGGATGGAAAGGTCTGCTATACCTGCGAGCATGGGAAAGCAAGTCTGGGCGGATCCAATATGTGAGGGGATGGAACAGGTACTTGGAACGATTAGAGCTGGGATGGAAAGAATTTCTGGGTGTACTAGTAGTACATAGAATCTCAATCAATTACAAGTTTAGTGTCAACGTGGGTGTAGAGAACTTATGTACATTGGTAGAGTATAGGCAGGGGAGGGCCGGGCCATTTGGTGCTTAGTGGAGCCTTGTACATATGTCATAGCCGGATGCGACACCATCCAACTACATCCATACGACCACAAACTCGCACCACCACCGCCCTTCGTCTCGTACATCTCCTCACCGCGCCAATGGATCTGGGCGACGCAGAAAACTCTCCCTGGGGCGGTACATATCTTCTCGCTTGCCCATAATCGTGGCATCTTACTGACACGCTTTCCAGATGTGCCCTCACAATCCAGCCCTGCGCCTGGTGCCTCCAAGCAGCTGGGTCACGACGATGCCCCCCAAGACGCCTCGTCTACAACTACGACTACCCTCACCGTCGACGCCGCCCCTTCGGCTGCCTCTGCACCGCGCTCTCCCGCAGGCCGTGGCCCCCGGCGGCGGCCCCATGGCGTGCAGTCGACCAAGCTGGAGGCCGTCGAAGACCCGCTGGGCCCTCTGGGAGCACCAACACCGTCGCCTGGCCTCGAGCCCGTTGCTCCCCCAGCGCCGCCCCAGAAAGAGGCTGCTGCTCACGGTACCCGGCCAACAGGGGCAGCATCAGCTTCTTCTTCATTGCGCGGCATGATGGACTCGGTCGACCTTGATGACAAGGACCAGGACCAGCTGCGCGCCTCACAAGGGGCACGGCTGCCTCCACCCGTGCAGGCACCATCCCACCCCACGCCCCAGCGCCAGACACAGCCCAGCGTCAGTGTCGAACAGGCAGCGAAGCCCTCATTTTCAATCTCTGTGGGCGACCCGCACAAGGTTGGGGATCTCACCAGCTCCCATACCGAGTACTCGGTCACGACCAAGACCACCTCCAAGGGCTACCGCAACCCCGAATTCACAGTCTCGCGCCGCTACCGCGACTTCCTCTGGCTCTACAACCAACTGCACAACAACAACCCCGGTGTCATTATCCCTCCACCCCCAGAAAAACAAGCCGTCGGTCGCTTCGACGCCGATTTTGTCGAGTCTCGCCGTGCTGCTCTGGAGCGCATGCTCAACAAGTCGGCTGCCCACCCTGTGCTGCAACATGATAGCGACCTGAAGCTGTTCCTCGAGAGCGAGGCTTTCAACATGGACATCAAGAATAAGGAACGCAAGGACCCCGGCTTGGGAGAGAACAAGGGCATGTTCGGCTCTATGCTTGGCAGTAGCTCTGGCAAATTTATCGAGCATGACGATGTACGTTTGCCCAGCCCTCTGCACACATTCAGTATTGACGATATTCTAGTGGTTCCATGACCGGAGGGTCTACCTCGATGCCCTCGAAGCTCAACTCAAGGCTCTGCTGAAGGCAACCGACACCGTTGTTTCACAACGGAAAGGTCTAGCTGAAGCATGTGGTGATTTTTCGGCTTCCCTGCATTCCTTGTCTGCTGTCGAGTTGTCGCCTGCCCTGTCTGGACCGCTCGACAGCCTATCCGACATCCAGATCCGCATCCGTGAACTCTACGAACGTCAAGCCCAACAGGATGTTCTCACCATGGGCATTGTCATAGACGAGTACATTCGCTTAATTGGCTCGGTCAAAACTGCGTTCCAGCAGCGACAAAAAGCCTACCATTCATGGCATTCTGCCGAGCAAGAGCTGCAGAAGCGAAAGGCAACTCAGGATAAGCTTCTAAGACAGGGTAGATCACAGCAAGATCGTTTGAACCAGCTCAGTGCAGATGTTGCCGATGCTGAGCGCAAGGTACATCAAGCAAGGCTGCTCTTCGACGACATGGGACGACTCATGCGCAGTGAACTGGAGCGCTTTGAGAGAGAAAAGGTGGAAGACTTCAAATCAGGAGTTGAGACATTCTTGGAGAGCGCGGTAGAAGCGCAAAAGGAGGTATGTTTGGCTTTTGTCTCAATACTGGACCTTGCTAATTACTACGCTAGCTTATCGAGATCTGGGAGACTTTCCTGATGCAGTTGGACACAGATGAAGGAGAGGGATTCTCTCTGCCTGCTGGTGTCGTTGCTTCATCCACTACCGACCAGACATCAAACCACACACCCGCGAATCAAGACTCGGAGGAAGCTGAAGAAAATAACCAAGGTGTCTCGAGCGCCCAGGCCTAAGTAGATGTTTATACACATCTTGTTGTCAATATGCTACGGCTGAAGTGGTCAATCTGCCATACTTTCGGCAAGCAAAATACAAAGTAGATTTCTGAGCTGTCAAATGGTTGGAATGGCCCCCGAGTCGCATGCAGCAGGTTTATCAATTCCTTCAAAGATACCCAGTCTGTCTTCGCAATGGTTTCCTTGGTTGGTGGGTGCTATGATGTTGATAATGTAATGCAGATGCGGTAAACCAATCTTGTGAATTGCACGTCTTTATCGTATGTTTCATGAGATGTTTCGATTGGCATATGGCTTTGCTGTCCAGACGGTACACTTGTTACATATGTACGCCTTGAGCTTTTGCCCCACCTTCACCTTACCCCACTACGATTACCGCATACGGACTTCTCTATGCGGTATTCCGAAGGACAAGTATCAGCTCCACTCCGCATCATGTGAGTCTTCGAATGAAGATGAAGGATATGGTGTCGCCAAGAACTTTTCGAGACTTGTGTTTACGTTGCCTTGTCTGTGTCCCGTACGTATGCGGGGTCAGCCGGCCACACCGTCGATAACGTGCTAACAAAACAGGCGCCGGCAAAAGAGCAGCGCCGCGTGCCCCAATTCGCGTCCGGCTAATCTGTTTCTTAGCTTGCCTATAGATAATAGAGCTGGTGTCCGCAGTTGCATTCAAGAAAAAGAAAACAAGATATAGTGTTTAAGCAAAACAGCAAAGATGCCGTTAGTAAGGAATCCGATTCTGCCAGGGTTCAATGCGGATCCATCGGTACTGAGGGTTGGAGATGATGGTACGTTAATCTCTTATTTGAATCTTGGGAAGTACAATGAACTAATAAGATGGTGTAGTGAGTGCGAAATTCGATTCAAGGGCTATACATTCCAGCCTTCATACCAGGACATGCACTAAATGAGTTGGCCATCTTAGTACTACATCGCCACCTCCACCTTCGAATGGTTTCCCGGCGTTCAAATCCACCATTCCAAGGACCTTGCCAATTGGGACCTCGTTACTCGTCCGTTGACCAGAAAGAGTCAGCTAGATATGCGTGGTGACCCGGACAGTTGTGGTACGTCTTTCCACTCAGCCCCTCACCCCCCAATTGGGCCCGGAATAACACATCTGAAAAGGTGTATGGGCTCCCTGCTTGACACATGACGGCAAGAAGTTCTGGCTTGTATACACGGATGTCAAACGCAAGGATGGCTCATTCAAAGACAACCCCAACTACATTGTTCATGCCGACAAGATCGAAGGCCCATGGTCCGATCCCATCTATGTCAATTCTTCTGGATTTGACCCCTCACTGTTCCACGATGACGATGGAAAGAAGTGGTTTATAAATATGCTTCAGGATCATCGGAGGCGTCCACAATTCTTTTCGGTTAGTTTTCCGCCCAGATCTATAACCTCGCGGAAAGCAATGCTAACGCTATATGTTCCGCATCCAAGGGCATCAGAATGCAACAATGGGACGAGAAAACCGAAAAACTTGTTGGACCCCGGAAGACAATCTTCCCTGGTTCAGACCTTGGTCTTCCAGAAGGACCGCATCTGTACAAGCGAAATGGCTGGTACTACCTCTTGACTGCAGAGGGAGGCACTGCATATACCCATGCCTGCACTCTTGCTCGATCGCGTGATATATGGGGTCCGTACGAGTTGCATCCGCAAAAGCACATAATCACCTCCAAAGATGCCCCGCTCGCTGCTCTGCAACGAGCAGGTCATGGAGACATTG